CAACTGCGGGGCTTCCCGGAGCCGCCGGCTCTCGGGGCACCGCCGGCGTGCTGCTGCTCGCTTCATTTCCCACCTCCGAGCTGGGGGAAAGGTGTTCGAGTTAGCGCTCTATGCAGACCGCGGCAGAGGGCTGCTGGAACTCTGTTGTTTAACCGTCTCCAGAAATGCTCCTTGCACTTGCCGTGAATACTGCTGAACTGGAGAACGGAGCAGCAGCTAAGCTCTCGTGTTACGGAAAGGGTTTTGTTTTAAGACCGGCTTTATCCATGTAAAATTGCAAATAATTTATAAACTTTATAAAATTATAAAATTTATAATTATAAACTGTTTGGTGACAGGTTTTGGAAGGGCAGCCATCAGGGACGCTTGTTACCACCATCTTTGCAAAAGACTTCGATTCTGGAAACAACGGTGTTGTATTATATTCAGTAGAATCAGGTAAGAATTTAAAGGGCTTACTAATACAGAAAGATACATTAAAATAACAAGCATTTTAGAAAGCCATGTATCATACATGTTTATTTTGTGTCTGACTGAATAAAGCTGCCTTTGTAAATAGGAATCAGCACCATCTTGTGTCTTATGAAGTATCTAAGGATGTGCAAGCGGCTGCCTTGCCTCCCTTCGCTCTCTGCCCCATCTTTCACAGGGTTTAGTTGTTTCTGTGGCTGGTCAGAGATTGTTCAAACAGCATTCAGAAAAGAGTAGGACCATGACCTTGTACTCTACAGCTGAGTATTTTAGTCAGTTGTTTAATATCTTAAATTAAAAATGTTCTCCCTTTTTCCATAGCCAGTTGAAGATTTTCCTGCAAAAATAACAGTTTGTGACAGTCTGAGACAGGGATCAGAGGGATCAGCAGATAATCTGAGTAAACAATGAGGTTTGTGGGTTTTAGTTCAGGTTCCACCCTTTGCTTAGCACTGTGTTAACCTGACATAGCATAGCTGCTTAAAAACAGTTCTTTAGTTTTTCCCATAATTCCCAGTTGTAGTAGTTCACTTCTGGGGTAAGCTGTAGGATCCAGTTTTGTTTGCAGTGAAATTAATAACAGAGCAGTCCTAAATTAGAGCATGAGTAGGACTGGGGCATTAATACCAGTAGGAGACACAATGTGATGTCTGGTTTTGCTGCATACCACTTGCTACACTTCCATAAAAGTGAGAACTCCATCCGTAACCAGGAGGGAAGACAGGTCTGTTCCTCCTGCTTTCCTTCGGTATTGCTTCAAAACAAGAGCTACCAGGAACAGAACCATTTCTTTTTTGTTTGGTTTATGTTATATTCTACCAGTTTCATGTAATTAATACTTTTTAAGGTTGGGATTTGTAACCTATAGTAATTTGCAAGTAGAGCTTACAGTTTCATCAGAGCAAGAAAACATTATTCCCTTAATTCAGATATAAATGACTGCTTATATTCCAGAGGGAATTGGATGGTATCTTAGACTTTGTGACATTGTGAGTAAGAATATTTTGCACAAAAAAGATCCCCCTTGTGAAAAAGGGAATGAGTAATGTGCAACCCTTTGTTTGAAGAGTGATGGCCAAGGAACACAGGAAGTGTTTTTCAGGGGTCTCAGCCTGTTCATGGCCTGTTCGTGTATCTAACTATATCCCCTTCCTTCAAACAGCACATTGGATTTTCTTACTGACTTCACTGTAGAGCCCCAGAAAGGAGAAAGAAGGAGTCCAAATTATAAAAATGACTAGCTACACAAAATATGACTGGTCTTGCAAAAGCTGTCTCTGGAAAGAACAAAAGGATAAAAACAGCAGCAAACACACCCTCATCTTCCCCCCCCCCCTTTCAAATTGAAAAACCACTAAAAAATCCTTCCCAGCCTTGGAACTAGATATTTTCCTGATAAACAAATCCAGAAACAGCTGAGCTCCTCTGATACTAATTTTTGTTGTTGTTAGTTGGCTCACAGCCTTTAACATCTGGTCTTCTGTTTCATGGTGAAGTTTTTGCCTGGTTTATATTTAAAATAGTATTTTCTAGTTCTGGGACATTGTTCAGTACTTAAAGATGAAGAAGAAATATGATCTGATTTACAGCCATATTTGTTAAACTGAGAGACAGCAGGTTAACTGGGGAACTCCATGCAGACCAGTGCTCTATTCTTCAGTTGTGGGACTGCCACAAGATGAAGAGCTGCAAGTGCCAGCTGTTAAGCTTGTAAATGTTGCTGGGTAATTTTTAATATTCTTGAGATGTTAAAGAAATGTCAAGATAGCAGCAGTATATTAAGCTGTGCAGGAATGTTAATGATAAATGATAACAAAATACATGAGCAAAAATCTGTAAAAGAACTATGAGGTTTACATACCAGGCAAATTTTAGGTTACAGGGAAGTGTTTCCTTCAAAATGTCCCTTCCTCTCCCTAGAAAATCAAAGCAAATCATCCTTTTATAATGTGTGTGTGTGGAAGTGGGTGGTCACATGTCCCTACCTCCATTTCTCTGTTATCACTAATTCAGAGGGAGGTTAATCCCAGCTGTGTGTACTGTTTATTCCGTAGTGATGCTGACAGTAGGAAAGTGGTTTGTCTGGTGTTCTTTATGACTATCAAAGGGTGTAGTATAGCATTTATAACAGAAATTAATAAATATTTGTAGGGCATCTGGAACTACTGCTTTGTGTGTTAAGACTAGCATTTGACAGAGGCTTCTACCGTTACATTTTGAGCAATTATGTAAATGCAACATTAGCCCTTGGCCATGCAAGTGCCAAGTCTAGTTACACTGCTAACATCACAAATTGGCAAGTGCTGTCCATGTGTCTATGAAGAAGTCCTTGTTCTCCAGAATGAGTAGCAAGCAGCTTGCAGGGAACATTCCTAGACCTGCAGAGGGTTACATTTCTGCAGAAGCCCTCATCATGTTCAGGTTCTTCAGGAGCCATAACATTGTCTTCCTCTTTTCTGTTAAGGGAAGCAACTTTTCCATCATCTCAAAGGAAAAGGACATGGTCAGGGCACTAAGTATTTTAACACCTAGGAAAGAAACAGTTGTTCAAGAAATGAGGTAAAAATATAGTGCTGAGGTCACTCTAATCTCTGAGAAATCTCTAGTGTTATTTTGTGTCTTCTCTCTGGGCCATTTTGCCTAAATGCCAGTTTCTGTAAGGCCTGAATGTTCAGCCAGCCAGAGTTCACAGTAACAATTGCTTGGTGTTTCTTTTTTGTTTTCTTTTTTGTTTTTTTTTTAAATCACAGTTTCTGTGATCATCTTTGAGAGCACAGAGCTGAGAGAGTGTCTGAGTTTTGGAGAACCTCGTGTAAATTAAAGTCTGGCCAACAGGTGGGACAAGGCATAGGTGAAAAAACTTATTGTAAAAATATATGTATTTATTGCCAGGTTACTTTTGCAAGCTCAAGAGAGACTGGGGCCATTAGAGTCTAGATATTAAGAGATTCAATTTTTTTCTGTTCTGTGCTTCATCTGCTCTTTCCAGTTTCCTTATTTCTTATCCATTTCTCATATGCTTTCTTCCTTTTCTCCTCAGACACAAAAGGACACATTTAGGGTGTATATGGTAGAAGCAGCAGTTGTCTAATTCAGGTGACTTATGGAGATGAGAGCTAAGGAAATGTTTTTGGAAATGCTGGGAGCATGAGCTTTCAGAACAATGACTGACATGCTGGATAGGTGTTAAACTTTTTTCTCAGTGTAAAAGTTTTTTCTGGCTTTCATTCAAATGGCTATACTTAGAATACATTTTTAAAATAGTTTGATAAAAATACCAGAAAATAGATATGGGGCATTTCAGGTTTGACTGTCCTTATAGTGTGGTACCAGATGAAAAAAATGAAAATGCAAAACACTTACAAAATGGAAGTCCCAAGGGGTTTTTCTTCTATATAATGTCTCTTTCCAATATTTTCAGATTTTTTTTTTGTTACTTTTATTGCCACCAAAATATGCACAAAATTATTTCATGCAATATTTGAATTTTAGTGTAAGTGTAGGTTTTAGCAAAATACTGAAAATATATCCATGCAATTTACATTATATGTTCTGTTTCTCATATCTCCTGTGACTTTTGCTTAGCTGGGATTTTCTGTCATGAAACATTATATGGAACAAAACAAAATAGCAGATCTGCGACTGTAGACGTATTGTTGGGACGTACACCAGGAAAGTAAACCAAAAGCTATTTATGAAAACAGTAATATAGCAGCATTAATATTTTGAAACTACCATGGAAAATGCAAAATGCAAGACTGTCTCATTCAATATAATTGTCTCTATATATTGTTTCCTTTTGTTAGCAATTTCCTTGTTAATGTTCCAGACAGCAAGACTCAACCCAGGAGGGACTGATGGAGAATTATAAAGCTATATTCATGCAAAAAATAGCAGAACAATATTGAAAAAAAATCCTATTTGTTGGTTGTGAAAACCCAGTTTTCTAACTAGTTTCCTGAGTGTTTTTTTTCTTCTAATGTTACAGGTGCAAATATTTTACAGTTGCAGATGATATAATTGGATACAAAAGTGAACTATCTATATGTGCAGTTAACTAATTTGGATGTTCAGATTTGGAGAATGTAAACAACTTCATGCTCACTTAGGTGCTTATGGAAATATAGTTCTTTATGTGTGTTTCGTGTACTGCATCTGCACTGAGTTTATTTTTACCACAGTTGCTTACTATAATAGCAGCTGTTATGGTGCATGACTTTATTTAACCCACTAGCACACCTTATTAAAAATTCACATAGCAGAAAGCTGTTTGGATGGTATTCTAAGAGAGAAGTACTTATAGCAATTGTGATTTTCCCTGTTTCTGGTGATGGTTTCTGGTGGTGATTCCCATTTTACTAAAATTTGAAAGTAATTTGTATTCCGTTTCTTAAAAATGGGGGAGCTATGTGTCAGTCTCTTTTTCCAGGGGAGGTTTAAATTTGATATTAGGAAAAATTCCTTTACTTAATAGTTTGTCAAACATTGGAACAGACTGCCCAGAGAGGTGGTGGAGTCACCTTCCTTGGAGTTATTTAAAAGACACCTAGACATGGTACTTAGGGATATGGTTTAGTGAACTTGGCCATGTTGAGTTAAAGATCATCCACTTGATCTTAAAGATATTTTTCAGCTTAAATGATTCTGTAGTTCTAAGTCATGAAGAGCTATTTATTCATCTTTGGTAAAAGTATTCTTTGCAATTCTCAAATAAATGGTGTGGCTGCAAATAATAACTTTTATTAAAAGCCACTTATTAGGGTGCCACCAGTCCTTGATGAAAGATATAAGCATAATTTCCAATATCCACGTGTTGCCCTGCAACAGCTTACTGTAAGATTGCAGCTGTCCCCAACTGGCTGCTGGCAGAGCACAAGCAGGGCAGGTGACATCGCTGCAGTCAAGGTGTATCATAGGGGTCAACAGTGCTCTTTGCTGGCCCCATAATCTTCAACTCACAGGAGATACTTGACCTTTTGTGTCAGTTTGGAGACTAACTAATTCTTAATTGATTCTTATTTAATTCTTTCTCTGGCCCTGTCTGCCAAGGTCAGAAATAGGAAGACCAGTCCTGGGCTATCTGTTGCCCTCCTGATGCACACACCACTGGTGTGAGTTAAGTTGGTATGAAACTGGGCAGTTGCTTTAGTACTCTATGGAGTTTTTCTCCATGTTTTTCTCAATCCACATTAAGTGATTTATAATAATTGTGTACTCAATGAAAGAAGAGGAGGTGAACCAAACAACCCTGAGATCCAAATGAGTGCAGCAGGTTCCTTTCCTTCTGGGTCCTGCTCTTTTTCACTGTTCATTTCAATGTTCAGTACTATGGAGGCAAGCTGTTACTGATTTGCAGTAACACATATCCATTTTTACCCCACAGAAGGGGATATAGGATACTTCCAGATTGATGCCGTCAGTGGAGAGTTAAGAACAACCCAGCCTCTGTCACATGCTGAGAGATCCGACTACAGAATGACAGTCACAGCCAAGGACCAGGGGATGCCTTCGCTTCAAGGACATGCTGCTATTTACATCCAGGTACTTATTTGCACTGTACAATGGGTAGATGGATAGATGGATAGATAGACAGACAGACAGACAGATAGATAGAACAATTATGTTAAATGCTTAGTTTATTTGAGGGGAAGAAAAACAATTTTGGAAGAAGGTTTGGAAATAAACTGAAAAAAGGAAGAAGTTCAAAATTGTAAGCACCTTGTCATACAGTAATTTTCCTTAGCTGTTTTTCTGTTGAGAGAGGAAATGAGAGGGCAGACTCTTTTTGATTTAAGAATGCTCAACAGCATTCTGAATCATCTTGCAAATAGATGATGCTTGTGCATTAGAATCGTTGGAAATTGGAAATGATTTGAAATCATTGATCATTGGAAACACTGGAAAATAAGATGAAAATATTCAGGTAGGTAGAAAGAAAAATAAATATCAAGTGGGGCTGGAAGTGGAGAAGAGAGTAGACTTTTTTGTTTTCTGCAGCAAGTTTCTCTCTTTTCTGAATTCTGTCTCTATAACCTGGTATAAGGATATCTCATTTCTCTGTGCTGGTTTATACAGGGCTGCTCTTCATGGGAGTGTGAAATGCAGCATGTGCTTATTCCATAGCAAGCCACCTGCAGCTCATGGAGCCACAGTGGGGCTGCTTTGTCCAGGCCACCTGTGCACTCCTCTGTCAGAGGCTGAATGTCATTGAGGCTGCACTTTTCAACTCACCCTAAAGATGGTTAATTTTGGATAGCTTGTAGTAACATGCTTCGGTCCAGGCAAGGCAAATGCTGTTCCCACAGAGTTAAAGAACTCCTCTCCCTGAGCAATGGGAGAAGTAGTGGGTGATGAACTGAATGTAACCCTCATTCCCTGTCTCCCTGCACCCCTGGAGGAGCAGGTAGAGCTGGGAAGGAGGGAGGGGTGGGAGGGAAGGTGTGTTTTTAAGGTCATATTTTACTTCTCATTATCCTGCTCTGATTTTGTTAGCAGTAACTTCAGTTAATATCTCTAGTTCTAGTATGTTTTGGCTGTCGTGGTATTTGCTGAGTGATCGGTCCTTGCCCTTATCTCAGCTCATGAACCTTTATTATGTTTTCTGTCCCCTGTCCAGTGGCAAAGGGGAGTGAGAAAGCAGCTTTGCTGGTACCTGGCATCCAGTCAGGGTCAGTCCACTACACATTGCAATATTCATAATTACAGTGGGAAAACCTTGCAGTTTTACATTAAAATTCAATTTATATTAAATATTCAACTTTATGTTTTGGTTGCAGGTGATCCCACTTCCCGGTGGGAGATCTGGCTTCTCTCAAGACTTCAAGCACTTAGTCATACCTGAAAATTTTAAACCTGCACAAGTGTTGGATTCTCTGAAGGCACCGGGTAACCATCTGGCACTTAACAGGAAACTGCATTTCAGTATTGCTAAAGATGATAATGCTCATTTTGAAATAGACAGCTTGACAGGAGACCTTTATCTTTCTAAGGAGCTTGACTATGAAACAGATTCACACTTTCTTTTGCAAGTTATTATAAAGGATTATAATAATCCCCCACAAAATAGCACTGTCCTCCTAAGTATTGATGTGGAAGATAAGAATGATCATTCTCCATATTTTCAAGATGACTTTGTAGTGATTGGCATAGAAGAAAATGTACCTCTTGGCACTCTGGTTTACACATTCAATGCAAAGGATGGAGATGGCAGTTTTCTGAACAGCAAAATAGAGTACTCCTTAGAAATTAATGACATGGGTGAAAATCCATTTCTTATTCACCCTTTGTATGGCACCTTGACCACAGCTTCTCCACTAGACAGGGAGACTACTCATTCTGTGATCTTAACGGTGTTTGCAGAAGACCAGGCAATAAATTTGACTGATCGTCGGCTGGATTCCCTGGCTGTGAAAATTGTTATTTTAGATATCAATGACAACAGTCCCAGTTTTATGTCTTCGCCTGTTTCCTATGTCCTGGAGGATGTGGAGGTGGGCTTCCTTGTACACCACATAATTGCAAAGGATCTAGATGAGGGAAGAAATGGACAAGTAACGTATCACATTCTTTCAGGCAATGAAAACAAAGCATTTGTACTGGATAAAATCACAGGTACTGCAACCTCTCTTCTCTGGGGTTTCTTGTGTTGTGATTTTCACAGTAACATTGGGAGTGCATACCATGCAATAGTGAAATACCACATTAGTGTGGCACTCTGCCCAGGTGACTTACTGTCCTCAGGGGTGATTGTCTTGGGCAGAGCACTATACAAGCAGGGCAGTACAGCACACAGTGGTCAAGCTTTGTGAGACTCAGCTCAAAAACTTTGGCATAACACTGTTACTGTGTTGTGTAGGTGTACTGGGGCATCTTCCAATAGTGCATTAAGGAAGGTGGGAGGAAAATGGGTGCAATGAAATACTTCATTCTGATTTTGGAATGATGCATACTTAAAGCACATGCACACATATGTTATGATATGTACTCATGAGGAAAGGCAAAGTTGAGATCAAGGAGTTTGCATTACACTGTGGGTGGAATGTGTTCAGTGGAGGCTCAAAGTGCTGATGAATTTCATTCTTCAGTCCCCTGAAATTCTCTGGTTTCTAACTATTATACTATGTTCTCACAATGCAAGTATCACCTTAATAGTTGTAATATTTTCTGGTTCTTATTCTGATTTTGAATCCATTACATGATGCAGCTGACACTGATTTATAGAGCTCCTAACTGCATAACTTATGTGCAAAAGAAGGCAAACATTTCAGTTAAATAAAGTTAAAAAGTTTAAGCCCAAAGTTAAGTAATAAGCAGTGTCTGAGATTCACTTGAATTTTCCATTAATCCAAATTTCCCTGGATGCCAAAGGCAGTATTTCTGGGCTAATTAGCACTGTAGAGGGAATCACAGGTAATGAATGACTGCAAAGTCTGGATACCTTCAGCAGTGATGGTAACGCTGCATTGAAGCTGTGAGTGCTGGAACAGCTAGGATCTTAACCTGGAGCAGGATACTTTTCTAAAACCTTTTTTCTTTAAATTAGGACTCTTAACTACAGCCCAGTTTCTAGACCATGAGGTTCAGGAGCGCTACAGTTTGACACTCATAGCTCTTGATGATGGCAGCCCAGCTCTCTCTGCCACACAAGTTCTAACCGTCGTCGTTCTTGATGTGAACGATGAGACACCAATATTTCTGAAGCAACTTTATGAGACTGCTGTTCATGAAAACCGAGATCCAGGGGAGTTTGTCGTAAGAGTGGAGGCTGTGGACCAAGATGCAGGTAATTTGTGTCCTTTTGCTAGTTATTTACTTGTGGACCATAGTACACCAACCCAAGCTTTATGCCTTGTGTGTACAGCTGTTGTGCTTTTCCGAAGGTAATGTATAACTTTTGAGTTTAAAAATATGAGTTTTGGTTCAGAATCTCAGCCTTTAATTGGAGCTTGGAGGTATTGTGACTTGCACTCTGGGATAGCTTCAGCTCTGGTGAGTATATTAAATGTAAAATGTGCTCTTGAGTGACACAGCATACTATAGGTTTCATGTGAAGAAAGCCAACATACTCTGGTTATAAATCAGGGAAGAATATTCAACTCCAAGTTAATATCTGAACATTTTGTCGCTCTTAATCAGAGCATTTTGTATAGTTTTAAAGCAGCTCACTAGTCAAGAGTCATGGTTTTGTAAGAACCGGCAAATATGCACTCATCTCTTCTGACCAGAGAGGGGCACTGTCATCCAAGATTTTCCAGCTTGTTGAGCTGTGAAGGCATAGTGGAAGCTGTTCCGGGTTTAAGTAGGCCTTTACATGCTAAAGAGTCTTAATGCATTGCTTTTCAAAAATACACAGAATGTATGAATAAGATGTGGGTATGGTTCATCTCCTCAGTGAATCACATGTAAGGACTAAACCTGAGAAAGTCTGCTAAGCAATAAAAAATTCCCTCCAGTTCTTTGATTACCTGTTCTTTTGAGGTGTCCAAAATGCACAGCATATGATGTTACAGATAGTCCATATGCTGGAGCAGTTATACAAGGTCTGTGTGATAAATAATAAAATCTGGAAAGAGAGTTAAATATTACAATACTGCAGTCTTTGGCCCAAGGGTAGTCTCAACTCTGTGAATGACTTAATTTTAACTGTAGGTTCACTTTCTATACTTTCTTTAGAACTGTGTAAGACTATGCTATCCTAAAAGCAGATAATGGAATTTGTTAGCAAAATAATCTTCTGTATTCAGTAAGATTTGTAATTTTAATGTAGAGCACATGTTGATTACAAAAGGCTGATGTGAGCTCAATAGAGGTATTATATAGAAAAGACACTTCCCCACAAGTATGTAAAGTATTTAGAAATTAGGAATGGGTAGGTATTCCTGTCTGTTAGAATCTCCATAACAGCTGAGCTGTACTGCAGTCTGCCTCTGTATCTCACTCTTCCAAATATTTTCTTTCTTTTGTGTGTCACAAAAAAGGTGATACTTGAAGAAAGGTTTGGAAGATAAAGGAGACAACTGAGAATTTGCTTGAATTCTTCTCCTTCCTTTTCCATCCCTTGCATTTTTTCACATCTTGTGGGAAATACAGCAGAAAGGAAATTTCCAGAGCAGTTAGTGGGAGGGCGTCGGGGTGGCTTGGCAGGGTGGAGAGGAAGGGCATTCCAAGTATACTGGGTGGCACAGTGTGTGCCTGCCTGTGCAGACACTTTGGGCTGGAGCACTGTTGTGGCTGATGATTCCTTCCTGCTATTATTTGTAAGTACAATTTCCAGTAACCACAGTCCTTCTGTTGAGTCTTTTTCTCACATTTGCATGATCTGGCCCCATGGCATTGGTGTGTAATAGTCTTGTTTCAAATTAGTATTGAAATGATGTTCATAATGTAAGAAAATGTGATTTATATAGGAATCATATAAATATAATGCTACTCACTTTTCTTATGTTATTGGAACACAATTTTTGAGTAAGATGACTCCTGTCAAGGTGTTCTTTTTTTTGCTTTCACATCATATATTTATTTTTACACTCTTCAAATTGCAGTTCACATCCCAGTAATATTTGCATAGTGTCAGTGGAGCACTTTCTCTCATCACACTTTTTTATTCACTTCGTATGTTCCCTGAGTCACCACTGGGAGGAACCAGTCGTTATCAACCTTTTGTTTTATTTTTCCTTTCTACTTTATTCTCTGTGACTGGAAGGGAGTCTTTTTGGGGGGAAATCACAAGTAAAATTTCTGACTTTGGAATGGTTTTCTTTCACATGAATATTCCTGAAACCTTTTGTTCCGCTACCTCCCCCCTGCACATTATGACACCTGCACTTACTACATCTCTATGTTGCTTGACTTTGGGAGCCTTTAGTGAGCCCTCCATGCTCTCACCCCCACCCAGCTGCTATCTGACAGCTCAACATCACTAAGTAGAGTGTAAAATATGTTAACGTTGGAAAACATGCATGTTGGAAAAATAAGCATGGGAAAGCAAAGATTCCAGTAGCCTATTTAAGGTAGGTCAGGGTTTTTTCTTGAGGTAAGTCTTAGCAGAAGAACTGGACCAGCATTTGGTAAGGTCTCTTTTCAAGCTGATATGCACCTCTGTCGTTCAGTAGTTCTGTCTGGAGCCTTAGGAGAAAAATCTTTAAAGGTTAATAGGAACCATTGACTTGGAGTTATGAGACAAGGCTTACTGCCATTCATTAGACATTACTGTAAAGTCCTATAAAGATGTGACTTGCATCTGGATTTGGGGCAGGGGGGACATTTTTTGTTTCAGTTTGTAATTTCAGCCCCTAAAATGTGACCAGTGCTACTGAAAAATTAAACAGCAGGTTGGATTGAGTGCATATGTGTTAGCTGCTGTGCTGTGGTGCGGTGTGTGTGCTGTGCCTCCTCTTTTGGGCAGACTGTGCAGCTTTTCCCTAATGCTACCTTACACTCCTAGCAGTTGGGATATGGGAAAGGAGTCAGTAAATGCTTGGTAAATAAATGTGGTTAAGATGTCACACATCTGTGTTCTTTAAGGGTTAAAACTTTTAACTTCAGCATTGTGTGAGTAGTCAGCTTGGATGGCACCCATGTTTTTTCAGAGCTGGTTGTGAATAGTGTCCATTGTGGAACCTGCCAGAGAAGGCACTGGGTTGAATGCACTGAGTTGAAGCAGCTCAATTGCAGGAAGCAAGAAGCTAATAGTATTAGACCTGCAGTTTTGTGTCTCTTTTTTCCCCATCTGTAGCATACTGGTGATAAAGGATAGATAAATGCAGGCAAATTTTAAAATTTAGTTGAATGTTATCTGATATGGGCAGATCAGAGAAATATATATTAGTAACCTAAGACTTTGAAGACATTCACATTGATTGTCCTCACTGATGTGATTTTTCTTCCTTCTGTAAAGATGAAAGGATTTCTGTAAGTCATTTTTCCTCCTGCTGTGTATTGTATGAATATGTCCCTCCCTTGACTTAGTTTAGGTGTGCATGCATTTACAGAAGTAATTCTCTGAATCAGATTTCAGTAGCACTGTCAACCACTTAATAAAGCTATTCAAAGGCAAATAAAGTGTAGTATGTTAAAGACTGTAGGCTCTGTTTCTTCTCTCATTTGGGTGTTTCTCCATCAACTCCAATGCAGATTGTCTTGTGCTTGACTGCAGCAGATGAGAACAGGCAGGCAGTGTTTGACATTGAATAGGAGTTCTCATATGACTAGAAGTGTCATGTCATTTTCCAGGGGTACCAACTGTCCCTGCCCTACTGAAGGACTAATTCTGGGTGGGAAAAACACAGAATGGGTGAATGGAATGTAGGAAAATTTTCAAAAAAATAAGGGCACAGTAGTCCCTTTGGGTATAACATAAGATTAAGCTCACTAAAGGTAATAAGTGTGATGGAGATGACATTATACTTTCCTTGGGAGGATGTTGAAACTATAAGAAGTATGAAAGGAATTATCTTATAACCATAATAGGAAAGAAAGTTCAGTCTCATTTCCTGTTCAGCTAAGATGGGCAACTTTGAAAGAAAGGTTTCTAAAAGCTTGTACAGTTTTAGTCTATTTCCTAGAGAAAGATGGGAAGGCTAATATTCCTTCACTATATACATTTAGTAGGTCTAATCAGGAAGTGTATGGAATTGTCATTCAGAAGAACTTGGAGGGAGAAGAAAGAGACAAATAAATACACCTGAATGTGAGGAGAATTGCTGTGTTTTACTGAGACTTCCATTCTGTTTTAAAGGGCTGAATTCCTTGCTTCAGTATGAAATCTTACCAGGAGCTGGTTATGAGAAATTCAAAATGAACTCGGTCAGTGGAGAACTTGTAACAGCTGCATCACTGGACAGGGAAACTCAGGAGGTTTTCAGTATTAAAGGTAGGAGTGTAAAATATCTATGAATGCCTCTAGAGTGGGAAGTGAGAGTGACTGAGGTGTTACTATCAGCATTACTTCTTTCATGCCTTCTGAATTAGATGCAAGTGGGAAGATCTTCCAGTACAGAAGAGCATATGCTTTTTGCATAGCACAAATAACTCTCCTACTCTGATATTAAAGAAATCTATTGTTACACCCACAACCACTGGATGATATTTGCTTTCTTTTTATTGATTTTAGTTTTGGTTCGGGACAGTGGAACCCCGTCGCTGTCAAGCACAGTGACAGTAATCTGCACAGTACTGGATGAAAATGATCACCCTCCCACATTTCTTCTTCCTCCCTCTGAGATCTTTATTCCAGAGAACCAACAGCCTTCTGTTGTTTACATTATCCGGGCTGTAGATATGGATGCTGGCAAGAATGGAGCTCTAAGATATAAAATAATTGGTAAGTTACATTTCATCATTTTGTTTGTATAAATCAGGGAATTTATAAACAGCAGCATCCAAGTTTTAGACTAGTTTTGACTTTACCAAGCTTCCCTAGCTCTCATCTTGTCTACATGCTTCTTTAATGTGGAAAAGAGAGGAGATCTTTCACCCTTTTGTCAGCACTAATAAGCATCTCCCAGGCATACTTTCATTCTGCTTTCTAGATTTGAAATAGTGCAGAAAAGAAAAACAAAAGAAATAACCAAATGCTGGAACGAGACATTAATCATGAAGGCATAATTTTGTCCTTTTTGTTATAGTTGTAGAAGTCTGTATGTAAATATGCCCATGAAAATATACCCAAGAATTAATTGAATTTTATTTAATGCTATTTATTGAATTCTATTTCATGAGAGCTTCTTTCACCCAGCAATTAGTAATGTCATACTTGGCTTCCATCTTGCCAAACTCTCCCTGTGTCCACTATGCCAGTGTAAGCTCCATAGCTGTTCAAGACCTCCTGTAGTATCTTTGGGCACATACAAGTTTGCTGTGCTTACTTTGGTTTATGGCTCTTAGCAATAGCTCAAATGGAGGCAGAGAGCTACTGTGGTATAAACCAACATACTTTTCTTTGAAGAAGCAGTTATGAATTCCTTTCTAGGTTTTAATGTTGTGATCTTCTATGACATTTAATTTAGTTACCTTTGGTCTTTCTACATGTTATAAAGTATGTATGCTGTTCACTGTTACTAAAAATGCTGACTTTTCAGTTGACTGCTTTATATTTATTCCCAGTGCCCCCAAATCACGACCTTGCACAACTCTTGAATTCCCAGAGATAGGTTTGTAGAAGAGAACGAGGAGCAAGCAATTACAATTGACAGCAATGCTTTATAGAATGGAAGGTTAAGGTTGGGAAGAGGTCGATTCACATAGCAGCATAGATGCATGAGCTTTTATAAGGTGGGCTGGTTTGGGGAAAAAAAAGAGATGCATTTGTCCAAATAGCCAGTCTGTAAATTGAATTCTGCATTTGCTCTCATTGCCATTCACTGATTTAAATGAAATACAGGTTTTAATTTGTATGAGAAACAAAATATATGAAAGACACGTGAGCACACCAGCTGTATGAGCAATTGGACCCTGTTATTGCAATTAGCATTGAGCATTCACAAGGGGTTCTTTTTTAAAAGTAGTTGTTTGTGATCATTTCATTTTTTTTATGCGTTTGAAAGGTGGAAATGTTGGAGAGTACTTCACACTAAATAACACGTCAGGAAAGTTGCTGTTCACTCGTAGCTTAGACAGAGAAGATATCAGCAATTTCACTCTTGTAATTGAGTGCCATGACCTAGGCAGTCCCTCGAGAAGCTCCACTGCACAGCTCTATCTAACAGTATTGGATGAAAATGACCACAGCCCGTTGTTTGCAAAGACCCGCTATCAAATCTCTGTGACAGAAGACCTGGAGGAAGGCTCAGCCATCCTGGACCTCTCTGCTTCTGATGAAGATGCTGGCCTAAATGGTGAAGTTATGTACTCCCTCATTGATGACACCTATGGAGCATTTGCAATTGACAGTGTCACAGGATCCATCATTACTACAAAGGCGCTGGACCGGGAGACCAAGTCCCAGTACACGTTTAGGGCTGTGGCAAGTGACCGTAGCACCCATTTTCCAAGGAGCACCACTGTCAGTGTTGTGGTGCATGTTGATGATGTCAATGACAACGATCCCATTTTTTTGCAGAATCCTGTCAGGGTCTTTGTTCCTGCTGAAACTGCTGTGAATGAGACAGTAGCCACTGTGAGAGCAGAGGATGTGGATCTGGGATCAAATGGAGCTATTGTTTTTAATTTGATGATGGCAGAAACTATATTTCAGATCGATATGAAGACAGGTGACATCATTCTTCGGGAGCCCTTGGCTACCAAGGACTTCAGTACGCAGCTGCTAGTGACAGCTTCAGATCAAGGCATCGCACCTCGAACAGCTACAGCTGTGGTCATTATCTTTACAGAAGAGCAAGAGGAGGTGATCTCATTCAGCCGCAGCCTGTACGAAGCAAGTGTGCCTGAGAACAGTGCAGCAGGTGGGTATGAAATCCTTCTTCTTGGAGTCACCAATCTCTCTTCCTTTTGGAATGATGTAATGAATAGTATAGGGAAACTTTTATTTTCTGTGCAGTAGCAGGGAAAAGTTAATGTGGATGTAGTCAATACCCGTTTGCCCCTTTCCAGTCCACCAGCATGAAAAAGATGTAATGGAGGAGGCATTGTCTAATCATCAGTGGGTTCATTCATTTAGCAAAATCGCTGTAATGATGGGTGGGCAGCATTTACTTGCTGTTTCACTGCACACACACACTTGTGTTTCAGTGCACACAAGCTCAGATGAGTTGAGTGTTGGGAACCAGTTGCAACCTGGTGTGTCTTGTTTTCACAATACCCTTCACAAACTGTAGTAGCTTTCAGAAATACCTTACTGAAGTTTTGGGCTTTGCAGAAGAAGGAGAAAGAGGAGTAGGATGGGATAGAGAAGGTCAGAGGCTATTGGTACATGGTCACTTGGACAGGCTTGTAGTCTCTCTCTAGGTAGAGACTGCATTATGGAATGCTACCTATAGACAAACCAGCTTCAGTCACAAGGTGCTTACAGATTTATTTGGATTCATTCTGGGTATTGATGAGAATTACTGCTCTATTTTTTATCATTCAAAGAACCTTGGTAGTTTTTCCTCCAGCCAATTAAATGTGGTATCTTCTCCTGCATCAGGGATTGATTTTGTTTGTCCTGGTTAGGAATGCCTTTCACATATTTCTGTCCACAATTCTCACTATTTAATTGGCCAGATGCATTTAGAGATCTGACTTGCACTATATTCTCAATTCAAACAGGTTATGAGATTCACCTTGAACAATTCAAACTTCCCTCAGTAAAACAAAAGCAGTGTTCCTTTATATCCTAAGGATTTTGTGACACTAGGGAACTCACAGATCTTGAGTAACAGCCTGTGTATTGGATTATGAATCAGTAAATAAGAAATGTGTTAGTAATTTTGGAAAATCAATCAATATTCTTGGATGATTGCAAACAGAAGAGAGAATGATGGGTGAAGATGGCTGTTGCAGTAATTACTGCTGTGGTTATTCAGCCATTCTTTCCTCTGTGCTTGTTTGGGACTACAAGCCAAATTTTCAAATTGTTACATTTAATGAAAGAAAATAAAGATGAGAGATGCATGGCAGTAGATAAACTGTTCTGATCCTAGATTTTTTTTTAAGTGTAGATGTGTTCCTGGGTCAGGCTAGAAAAGCCAGCCTGAAATTACAGAAATGCCCCAAGGAACCGTGGTATCAGAATGCCATTGTGTTTTGCCATTCAATCTATAGAAATGTAATTAAGATTCAATTTAAGTTGTTTTGATTAAAGGAAATTTAGCAAAGCTTCAGGCTAAACAGAAGGGTTTGATCACAAAATGTTAGTTTGTGTTTAATAATACTTATATTTGCTAAGAAGATCAAATTATTTTAAGAATATAAGAGATTTTACCAAATACTAATACTGTTTGTCTATGTTTATACTATTTTCCTTTTTTCATAAGCATAAATAAATATCAAATATTTTACATTTCAGTGGGGAAGAAAAGCATGATTGTAATTAAAATTCTCATAGAAGTTAGCTTATAGGATAGAAGTGATCCTGGGACCCCTATGAATGTGAATAGTACCAGTGTATTCAGTCCAGGGAAGATTTATATTACATACTGATTATTTGTAGAACTGGTATTAATAAATGTGGCTTCTCTTCATAGTTTTATTTCTGCCTTAACTGATGGAGGGGAAAAACACTACGTTTATTTTAAAAAGAATAAAAAATGTGAATAATATAAACAAAAAAAACCAAAGCCAAGAGTCCTTTGTTTTAATTTAGTCTAAACCCATCAAATGGGTAAGTGCCTCAAGAACTGGTCCTTGTGGTCACATTTTTCTTTAAGTGTTTGACCTCCAAGTTTAATAACCTTCAGAAAACCCCATTTTTCTACTTTTTTTGTTTAATATTGAATATTTAATGTCTTTAAATATTATAAACTGTATTACAGCAGGCACTTAGAAGCTAATCAATAAATAATCAAGTGATCACTGTGCTCTTCAGAGGGTAAGAAACCTTTATTACTTACCCAGCTTCTAGTTGAATGGTTGTTTGCATAACAACCTCCTTGGAAACAGATTCACTGATAAAACTTCTTGACTCCTCTACTTTTTTTATAAGATATCAAATATGTAGCCCTTTATTCTTGAAATCAAAGAATCACAAAAGGGGTGAGGTTGGAAGGGACCAAAAGGGGCACCTTGTCCCACCTCCCTGCTCAAGCAGGGTCATCACAGAGCACATGGCACAGGATTGTGTCCAGATGGTTCTTGAATCATTGTCTCTGTGCTCTGCTTTTCCTTTCATGGCAATTAAGAGGTCTGAAGAAATAGTGGCAGGGATGAAGACAGGTTAGATGGCAGAGGACAGGGAAAAGAGACTGCTACAGTGGGTACTGAAGAAAGAAGAAAATGCTGCCGTGATACAGAAGCTCAGTGTGGTGCTGGTGTTAGGACATATGTATAAAAAAAACCTCATGTGTATAAAACATATATGTCCTAACACAAAATTCAGCAAATGTTTTGGAGATGATTTGTCCAGGTAGGCAAATTCTGTTCACTCTGACATGTTTGAATTTTGAGTCTGCAGGCATAATGTTGGGATCTACACTGTATAAAACAGTTTGAGATACTTCCATATGCAGTGAGACTGTCTGTGATCAAACTGAAAAAAAACCTAGATCTACATATTTTACATCACTCTTCATGCCTTCAATATTTTTAACTAATTCAGAGGTCAATTTCAAGTATTTCAAGCCAATCTGACTGCTTTCTGCTTTGCACCTGATCTCCCAGCTGCCTTGCTCTATCTTCAGTGGTGATCTCAGTCTCGATGTGTTTTGCAGAGACAAAGCTCCCTTTCCCTAATTTTTCTTTGTTAAGAGCTGCATAATGTGACTTCTGCTTGAGACCACATGTGAATTGCATGATTGAAATAGTGAGTTTTAGCAGATGGACATTTTCTGTTGCTCTTTATCTGTATAGGGCCTGTTTATGTCACAACAGACTACACTTTGGTCATATTTTTTTGACAATGAACTGCAAAAACTCAGTTTGGAGGAATAGTTTTCTGTGAAAGGTATCAGAACACAAGAGATTTGTTCTCTGCTAAAAAGAAGTTGTAAACAATTCTATCTGCATGAAAAATGTGGAGCTTAAAGGATTAGGATATGAGGACTCAGAACAAGAGTTTATTAACCTCACCTCTGAAAAACAAGGATACAAGTAGAAATGCTGCTGCATCCTTTATTTCTGGTAGTTTTTCTTCTTAAACGCCCAGGCAAACAAACAAACAAAAAGATGCAGACAGTGTTAAAAGGTAAGTAGGGATATTCTTCAGACCTTGGGGTTTTTTTCTTATCTTTAACTCTGCTTTGAGGATGCTGTGAATGATTGTCCTTGATTCTCTGTAGCAAATAGAAGTTGCTTGGCAGTGAAAATTCAACCTACAGTCCCTTATTTTAGTTCCTAAAAAACTGTAGCTCAGCATTCATAGATCTGTCTTTACATACTGGACAGATGGATGTTGATTCCAGAGCTTTTCTAGTACATATCTTACAAGTGTATTGACAAGTATAGAAAATCACATGTCAAAATTGGCATACTTTTGCTTTTGACTGACAGATTTTGAGAGAAAATAGCAAACCCTTAGTAGAAAAATTCTGGTTTTTAAAAAGTAATATGTAACTGCTAAAATAAAAAAGCATCAGATCATTGCAATAGCAATGTTTCCTCTCATTTTTTATACTAAAGTCTTTTCCTGTGGCATCCAGGAGACTGAGTATGAGCAGTATGTCCCTTGTGATATAATAAAATAACTAGTTGCCTCTAGTGCTGTTTGAAAGAGCTCAGGTTGCCTCATTCCATCACAGTTGCATGGAATCAATTACAATTTCATTAAATAATTAAAAAAATTAAAATCAATGGCCATATATGCTAGACAATTTCCTAGGTCACTTGAAAAGAATAATTATTTGGAGGTTTTGATAATGCCTTTTAAACTTGCTATATTTTTGTTAAATGTGATGATTCTGAGAAGGATAATTTATTCAGTTCCACGCTTTCCCTTTTATTTTATTCTAAACAGAATTTTTATTTCATGTCTCCTGCATTCTGTATTAAATTATTGGTCATTTAATTGAATTTGGATTCCATGTGAATTGACACATAGCTCTTCACATAGTTTAATCTTTTCTTTCTCTTTGTCTAAAGGTGCTAATTAAAATTCTGAAGGATATTTAATTTAAGGTACTGTTCAAAAACTCAAATTGAATCCTGATAAATGGAGAAAAAAATAAACTCTTTCTGTTCATTTGTGGGTGACATGATGCACCAAAACAAAAAAAAATTAGATATGACTTCAGGTAAGAGAGAACTCCAATGAGTCCTGTGAGTTTGCCATTAGGAAAAGTTAAATCTCATCATTTTATTCAGGCAGGTAAAGTTGTTATCAGATGTGTAATTTACTGAGGAAGGAGGAGTAGACAGATCTTTGTCTGTGAATTTGTAAGATAGGAAAAAAAATGGAGGATTACTCTGTCTACTAAACTAATGGATGAGCACCTAACCTAGTACATAGTTGTGCATCTGCTGTTAATACCAGTACTATAAAATTAGAACAAAACCTTCTAGGGTGGGCATGATGAAAATGTCTTATTGCTTCCATAGGTACATCACTTCTAACCGTAGAAGCTTATGAACACAGATTTACAGGAGAAGACATAAAATACAGCATCTTTGGTGATCAGGAAATATTCTCCATACATCCTGCTACAGGTACATTTTATAATTTTTTTCAAGTGTCTATGTGTACTTTGGAACATTAACAAGTTCCTACCACATGAGCAAGGGCTAGATATCTTAGGATTTCTCCCTAGTAGTAATTCTGTTACAATGAGCAGGTCATCAGTAAATCCAGGCACTGTTGTAAACTTGAGGTAAAAAGAAATTGAACACCAGTATACTTGTTTAAAACACTCAGTTCTGATTTACTATTGATCACCAGGTGCTGGGAGTTGATAAACTACTGCTTTGTGATCCAAGCTGACATTCCATTTTGTTTCTCATCATACAGTTTCCCAAAACTCAATGAACAAAATCCTTCACTGCTAATGTAGAAGCATTAGACACTTGTTGATTTTGATGCTTCAGGCAAGCATCAACACATTTTAAAGCCAAGTCTGTTTATTTTTTTGTGATTATATTTGTGTTCTGCAGCAGTTTTTACCTGCTCTTCAGTTAGGAATTCCAAGTGCAGGAGAGTGGGGTGTTCCCTGTGTACATTTACATGTTCTTCTCTAGGGCTGGTAAGAGAGCACAGCTACTCCGGTTACCTCTCAGCTGCTAAACATCTGCTATAAGTTTGCCTTCTAAATAGCTGCAGTCTCTCTCTCTTCTTGGGATGGTGTATAGACAGTGTAGCACATAGCAGTTTTCCTCAGAAACAGTGTAAATAGTTGGTACCCTTAATAAATAGCTTTATCCCTGATTTTCTGAAGGCTTTAACCTCTGATTATCCTGATGTCTCAAGGCATCAAATGGCATACCAGTGAAATAATTTTTTTTAGATGAGGGGCGCTTGAAGTGCATAGTTTTGATTTTCAGGTCCTTCTTATTTCAATGACATAAAACTAGAGAGATTAGCCTTAAAGAGCATCTTAAAACCAGACAGGTTTTTTTTTTTGCTGAGGAAGTGAATATTCTCCAGTATCACCTTCAAAAAAAAAAAAAGAAAAAAGAAATTTTAAATGGGATTTTCACTTTTTTTATCAAGCTTGGCTGAAAAATGGTTACATGACACTTTGAAGAGTCTCATAAGCACTCTTCACAAACAGGAGTGGAATTTCTATAGCAGTGAATGTGTCACAAGGCTTCTTTTGAGACTTTTAATCCATTGTGGTTTCTTCTGTTCCTTTCCTCTGAAGCCTTTCTTCTGTTTCTTAGAAAGCATTAATTGAAGTTCAACCTTTAAGGACTTCTTAAGAGCAGTGCTTACATTAGCATAATTTTGACACCAGTAATTCTCTACCCATTGCTTCTACTGCAGAAGTATTTTGAGCTGTGCCAATGCCCTGTCTATAATAGGGGTTCTGAACAGAAGGTGTGCTCTACTTCCCTTTTCAAGTACTGATGTTAATTAACCATGCTTTGGAGAAGACTTTTCTACCATTTTAACTTTTTATTATACTGCAGAATTGTAGAAAGTAGAGTAGGAGGTGACTCAGACATGAACTAGTCTGCCCTCCAATGCAGGAGGGGGATCAATTGTGCCAAAATCTGACAGAAATTTGTACTGTCCTTAAAAATCCATCAGGGACAGTGATTCTGCAAACTCTCTCAAAAGTCTGTGAAAGTCTTTCCAGTTGAAAAGTTTCTATTTATATTTATCTGAATTTTTGCTGAAATGTTTTAAACTTAATACTTCTTAGTCTAGTAAGAGTTGACATAAGACAAAGCCAACCCCTCTATTATTGACATATTTGAAGACTATTACCCTGTTTTTTCTTCAAGTGCACTTCCTAAGAATGATCATCTCTGGTTTTTTCACATGTTCCTCCTGGTGGGGTACACTAGAGTGGTGTACCTTAAACTTAATTATTTGTTTGATGCTACACTAGAGCCTTTCAGTTTGCTCTGTGTCATCTGGAAGTGTATTTCTTCTGTCACTGTCTGTTTTCTTTTCTCTGTAAACAGAATGTGATATTTTTAAGTGTTGTGCTGAAAATAAATCACCTTTGAAATATTTATGTTCAAGATGCATGTCTGCAAACATTAGTTAATGTTTGTTTTTCCTAGAAAATAAAAATTAAAAAGCACTAGTTTGGAGAGCCACAGTTGATGCATTCTTATGATAGCCCAAGTTTGGGATAACAAGATTGAATGACATCATTACTGAAAAGTCCATGCAAAACTGGATTTGAATTCTAATGAAAATTAGATGTAATGGAGAATTATGAGTATGTTCCTAGAACATTGGAACAATGACTATGGATTTCCAAGGACATTTCATGTTTGATGTGGAGGTGGCCAGGCCAGTTGTTCTTGTCATCTCAATAAGTCTCATTATTTGTTTATTTTTGATAGAATAGCAGCTGAGGGGAGGGGGCTTCCTGCGGCTGGATGTGGATTTTGATGAGAGGGTGGATGTAGCCACTGTCAGATGAGGGACAAGTGCCTCTTCCGACATGGCTGTCTCACTGTCACGTGCTGAGGGGGAAACATCATGCAGACAATTGGTCTCTATTCCTCTGCTAGTAAATTGGCTTAGTTTTAGAAATTTGCCAGTGTAGTGGTGGTTGGTGAAAGCTTAGCTATCCAAGATTTATTCAGTAACTAGCATGTTGGGGTGATAGTAGGGAGAAAAAGGACACAACAGCGAGCATGCTGGAATTCTGTCATGTGTTCAATAGCGGTGACCATATATGTCAGGAATTTCATAACTACATTTGTGCATGTTTTTTCTGAATGTGTCACATCTTGAGATCTTTTTTTTTTGTTGTTGTTGTAAAAAACCAGGCACAATCACAGTAAAAGAGCTGAAGTACCTTGATTATGAAGTTAAGCATAAAATACATCTTACAGTTGTGGCTGAAAATAGCTTCAATGCAGTGTACTGTGGAGTGACAGTTTTGATCCAAGATATGAATGACAATGCACCTAAATTTGAGCAAAGCTATTACAAAGCATCGGTATGGGAAGGCCAGAGTCCTAAAAGAGACATCATACAGGTGAGTAGAATTATATCTTCCCAAGCACAGTGCTGTAGTTAAAAAGAAGTTTGGCTGATCTGTTCATCACTACAATCCTGCTACGTCTGTTCTGGACCACTCGGTCTTGAAAACTGGAAGTGAGGTTCTTGGTGTTGCTGCTACTCTGCTTGAATATCTAAAATATTAAATGATTTTTTTTCTAGACCACATTTCAGATCAGATCATTCATTCAATAACTGTTCACCTGGAATATAAATTCTCTTTTTGAAATAAATTCTGTTACTATCTTCACACAATTGAAAAATACCATTCAGATTTGTGGTTCTGGTTACAATATAGGCTGGGTCTTGTATTAATGTCTCTACTGAAAGGACTATAGAAATAAGAAGAATACTTTCTACTTATCAGCCTAGTAGAGGCAAACCCAATGTTGAGTTTAAAATCTGATGCCTAAAGAGCAGCTTGTCTTAATTTAAATGTGCAAACACTTCTTCCTCTGAATGGATCCATTCTCACAAAATGTTTCCAGCTGGCCATGTTAGAGCAAAAGAAGACATCAGTTGAACTAGAAGAACATATAATTTCCTCAGTACATGTTCTTGCATTGCAAGTCAGGTCACGGTGAGGGTCATGTTAGGTACTAAAGATATTCCCTCTCTAGAGAATAAATAAATGAAAAAGCTACAAATGCCTTCTGGGCAAAGTGATTAGAAACTGATGGACATTGTATTTAGAGAAACATATGTCCAGGAATGGAGAAAAATCAAAAGGCAGTCAAGCCAGATGTGTAATCAAAATTTTATGACAGAATACATTCTGTTTCCTTTATTCATTCTGACTGGTTGCCTCTACTATGTTTTGGATCCCAGACTCATTATAATGCTTGTTCAGCAACCAAAAAAAATACAAAGACTTTTCAAAGAGTTAGAGGACTCTGAGAAACCTGTTCACTGCTGCTGAATATTCCTTATTCTGTTGGCAAATCTTTACAGATTACCTCTGCCCTTTTTACATTTTCTGTTTGGTATTTTAAAAAGGTAATTAAGGAACTATTCCATGAAAACTCTGAAAGCTTAATAGTTCAATTATTTTATCCTTTATCTGTTTGTATAGCAGCAGTACTATAAAGGTCAGTCCTGTACCACTGAGAAAGCGCATATTTATGTGCTCAACAGGGAGAGCATTCTAATAGAAGAGTAATAGTAAAATGATTACATTCAGCCCTAATGCTTTATGTAGCTGAATTTCAAATTACTCATTCATGTGCAGCCCATTGCAGTTCATGAGCAGATTTTGTGACCTTACATGACACTCAAGCTGGGGACAAAGATGATGAATTATTTAAATATGTGCAGTCGAAAAGAAAGTAATCAGAAATATCTGACTTTAGTATAAGGGTTTTCTTTCTGAAATCACATTCTACTGTTTTTAATTAAAACTCAGGTTTGCTCACAAACAGGTATTTGCAACTGACCTTGACAGTGGGCTGAATGGAGAAACTGAATTCTCAATTTTATCTGGAAATGAAAATGCAACATTTCTAATTGATTCGGCACGAGGAATTCTAGCAACTAATACAGGCCTAGATTATGAAAACACTCCATCTTACAGGTTTGTATGCAAGCTTCTAATAAAAATGTATTATTTTTGTCCAGTCTATTTTTGTCTTGAGAATATTCATGTTACATATTTCATAGTTTCCTGTTGATATCCATTACCCACAGAACCTGGGTGCAAGCCAGACAGCACTGAGAACAGCACTAAAGCTGCCCATCTGTACTTTAGATTCTTGTGTACTTTTCAAATTTAGAGAAAGAAATATAGTCTAGTTAATCAATGACAACACTTACTGATATAAGTGTGATTATTCACTATAGGAATAATGACAGTTCCTGGTTTTCAGTTTATTAATAATTGTACATCCATTCCCTCTTGGGAAATGTTCTTTATAAAGACACAGTGGAAACACTCAAATCAAATCCAAGAAATAGCGATATGTTCTCATTTTTAATTGGTCAATAGTTCAAAGTTTCTACTCAATCATATGATAGAGTCTCTTTTTAAACTGTTTCCATCTATAACCTGTCTTGCACTAAGTATTAATTTTTTCCTGTTTTTCAGAAACTCTGAGTAAATGCGGTCAAGTGGACATGACAATTTTTCTTTATAGGTCATGCCATAGTTGGAATTAGAAAACAAATAAATAATGCCTTGAAGAGAAAATGTGAATATGCAGATTCATTAATAGACCCATTTTATGTACTGAAATCTCCACAAAAAGTATTATTTCTGTGTATGTGTCACTAGAAATTACTTTTTTTTTTTTCCATCTGGTTGTGGTATCAGTTAAAATATTTTCAAGTTTTCCTGTCCTGTGGGACCTCAAAGTTCTAAACATCCAATGTGAATTCTTATCAATGAGAATAACTTGTAGAAAACCACGTCCAAGAAGATTGACAGAGTATGTCGGGTTTTTTTTGATATGAGGCTGATTTATAATAATGGCACCAAAATACTTTTAATGTACAGGACACTTAATTTGGAGGGTTTTTTTCTTTTTTTCACTGAATCAAAAACATCAATTCTGATTTTCAAAAATTTAAATAGCATAATACATTTTATTTTTAACTAGTACACCTGGAATTAGTCCTTCAGATGAAGGGTGTTTAATGTTAGTGAAATGTTGAGCATGGGAGCATAATAATTCTCATATCTCTCTTTAACTGGTAGCCTGATTAATTTCAGTATCTATGTTTGAATTCTAGACTTTGAGTTTGACAGTTTGTTCAGGGAATCTGTAGCTTCATTTTCCTTCTCTCTGAGTTCGTAATCTGTGAAAACTGAATAGCAAAAGCAGCTTTCAAAACTGTTTTCCTGTTTGATTTCAAAATGTTACTGTTGGTTTTCTCCAACTTGCATGGAGTTGTTTATATATCTGAATTGAACATTTTCATCCCCAGAAGTTCTAAGTTCCTTACAACAGGGCTTATAATGAAAGTGTTGACAGAACCTTAATTTTAATGCCTTGGCTAAGATGTTTTTATGAGTGGGTTTTTTTCCTGAAACCTTAGAAAGTGATTATTTTTAGTAAAATATTTCCATATGTATACCATACCAATATTCAATGTAGAAAAAATACACTTTCTATATGGAATTATGCATGGTCACTGATTGAATACAAGCCTGCAATTTAAGTTTTCTTCTGTCAGATCAGAAACCACAAGGATACCCAGAGTAGAGCTGGTGTGGTTAAGGAATGGAAATGCTGCAAGCCACAGCTTGTGTTACAGCCTCGGTATTCCATACTGTCAAGTGAACTTTTAGGAAGTAATATCTATTTGACACTTCTTAATTGTTAGTTAGAAGAAAGAGGGAGAAATAAAGTGTTTAGAAGACCTTCAGGGAGGCAAAAAAAAAAAAATATGGCGCAACATGAAAACACTTGTTAATGCATACAACATTTGAAATGCTCAGTGTTGACCTGTATATCCTTTAGCATAGCTCATTTTTCCCTTTTTTCCTTTTTTTTCTTTTTTAAGATAACCTGTTGAGTTAGATTTAATTTTGCATTCCCTTCTGGAATCTTCCCTACTGGGAAGTGTTAAAGTCTTCCAAATAATCTCAGTTTATGTTTGCTTTTTATTGTTCATAAAGTGCTTCCCACAAAGAGTAAACCTTTTATCCATGTTTATCATGTTGCTGCTTACCATTTTTTTTGCTGCATTTTTTGTGGAAATGAAAAGGTTGTTTACAGAATTTACAACCATCCTTATGCAGATGTGAAATGGAAGTGTACAGTCAAAACTTTTCTAATCTAACAGAAAGATTCCAATCCCACTAAAATCAGTGGGAACTTTGCCATTATCAAATGGCACATTTATTCAGGGTTTTCACTTTATCACTTGCATTTATAATGTAATAGAAGGGCTACTCTGTGTCTTCAGGCATTCTGGCTGAACTATATTTTGGGTGTTTTTGCATTTTCCAATTTCCACATCCCTTTTGTTCCTTCATAAATAATGAAGAGAGTCAGGTTCCTGCAAATTATAATTTAGTACTTAGGTTTTAATTCCTGCTCTGAATTACCAATGGGAGAACCGTGTCTTATTTGAAAGAGTTGCCTAACCACTTAAATTCAATATGAAATTGGATGAAATGAGTACAGATGAATACTTCTTTCTCTTTGTGCGATTTTACCATTCTTTTGCCATATAGAATCTCCTGGACTTCTTTCCTGCAAAGCCAAAAAGTAAAACTGTGCACAGTCAGCCTTACAGAAAGAAAGATGGAATTCCAGGCTTGCAATGAGGAACAGAAATGGCTAATCTTTTTGGGTTTAAAACTTCCCCTGCTTGTAATAGTGGTGGATGATTCAGTGATTTCTGATCAAAAGTGACAATTAGTGCCTCCTTTAATTGTAGGTTGGTTGTACAAGCTGCTGATAAAGGAAACCCCAGACTCTCTGCTACAAGTATTGTGAGGATACAAGTGTTAGATGTTAATGACAACGCTCCAGTTGTCCAACCACTAGGTGAAGTGAAGGTCCCAGAAAGTAAGTGTGAAAGTACAGCTAAGTTTTGTTAAGGCTAGAAATTCTCAGATAATGATTTAGTGTTTTTGGTGATTTGTGTAACCAAACAACTGTAATAAAAATTATAATGGATAGTATTAACCTGAAGTATCAAAGCAAATTGTGATCTGCTTTTATTCTCAGAGACATTATTTTTAATCTTTAGACTCTGTGTTTAAGAATAGTTTGGAATTAAACTATAGGCAATTCAGGAGGGAAAAAATCTGCAGAAATAAAACTTTAATCTGTTCATTTTCAGTATCGTACCCTTCACGTCTTCAATTTCTGCTCTTGTCCAATAAAAATGTCTGGTGTTAAAACCACTATTTCTAGAAATGAGACATTTTGAGCTTCATTGTGGTGAAAGAAATGCTTACTGTAAATTTGAATGAAGTGTTAATCAGACTCTATAGCTAGATCCAGTTGTTGTTCATTAAGAGAGGGACTCAGGACCTACTGAGTTCTCATCCCAGCATACATCTTGTATGTTGTGTGACATTAGCTCAACATCTGCACATTGAGTCTGTAATTTTCAAATACAGGCATTGAACATGTGAATGCATTAAGATACACAGCAGAAAAATTATAAACATCAGTGCTCCTGTTAACAAAAGATATTAAGTTTATCTTTTCTGATGTTTTAGTCTTTCCTAAATTTACCTGCCACTGGTAATGACAAGTATAGAATTCATAGATGGAGAGCAACTGTAAACTACTGGTTACTTAATTAGACTTTTGTATTCTGTTTAAAAACACTTTATTTAGGACATGGCAACATATTTTTGAGTCTTCATGCCCCAGGCATGCAAATGAGAAATGCTTTAGCTTCTGTTAGTTCCAGGCTTTGTAAAATGATCACTAATAGTTTCAGTTTGAAATCTCTGGTACTGTCAAACTGGCCCATGACAAAAGCTGTCTGTATCCAGTTTCTCAATCTCATAGGATTATACCTTGATTTCTTCATATTTTTGTGCTGTGTAGGTCTGTCTGAAAGCCTTGTTTCTCTCTAGTGGCCTTCTCCTTTGGAAAAGTTCCAGAATTTCATTTGCTGGTGCTACACAGATCTGGGTCTTTGCCTTAGTTAAATATTCTTGTGGCATTGTTCAGTAAATACATGTCACCTAAATGCTTGTGGAAAACAAGTTCCTGTTACTGGTGAAGAAACTGTTATGATTACACTGGATCTGGGAAAGTCTAAAGAAAACCCAAATTAAAATTTGGATCCAGTACATGCCTTTGAAGAAATACACTACTGTTTCCGTAGCTTTTCTTGTGATTTTGTGATTCTTGGGATATTGTGATTATTGTAAATCACAAAGTTTAAATATATCAAAAGCTATACAGAAAGATTAAATATATCCAAATCCAGTATTACAAAATAAGCAAAATCTTCAGAAATTGTAAAATTATCTTTTAACTCTGACTTATTCTCAAATTTATTGTTTCAGATGCCCTGCCTGGTTTTATAGTGACTCAAGTGTCAGCAAGTGATGCAGACTCCAGGCCAGCACTGCAGTTTGGTTTTATTTATGATACTAGTCCTGAAATGAAATTTTCCATCGATCAATACACTGGTGTCATTATAGTGGTGGAACCATTAGATTTTGAAGAAACTGCTGTGTATACACTGCATATCGTAGTTTCAGATTCTGTGCATCAAACAGAAGCAGAACTCACCATCCTTGTTTTGGATATCAATGATAACCCTCCGGTGTTTACTCAAGATTTTTATCAGGTAGGAACATGGCAAATGGACAATTAGCATGTGGTATCTTTCCATATAGGATGATAAATAGTAGGAGTGCTTGTTCCTATTTGTCTTAAAATGCATGTGAACACTGATAGGAAAGGTCTCTGCAAACTATTGTGGAGCAGAAAGAGACCAGAGCTCTTCTAGGGACCTCCAGCCCTTTCCTAAGAATTCTGCTAAAAGGACTGAGGAAACTGTTCAGTTTCAATGTTTGTGGTTTGTCTTCAGAAGGCAATTGGTGTGAATGCTAACTGTATTCCATAAACCATGCATTTATCACTAGGAGTTACTGGACACAATCCAGTCTAGTCTGGGGAGCAGAGTCCAGTGTTCAGAGTTTTTTCTTCTGAGAGAATGCTAAACAAGTTGGTACCTTTATACTGGCCCTGTTACTATGCTTTAATTTCTTCATTTTCAGTTACACAGCTCCTCAGAGATGTAGCAAATGCCCCTGTGGTAGGTGATGCACATAAAGTTTGCAATGTGTAATGCTGCATTATGACAATGGCACTCACCTAGGGAGTGAAGGATATGAGTTTTGACCTCCCAAGCATCCCCTGGGACCTCTGAGGAGGGTACAGAGCTCAGCTCTTGGCCTCCTGGACAAGCATTTAAACTGCTGTACTGTTGTAGAAGTGAAGTTGTCCAACAGTGAATACAAATCTCTTTTAGTGAATATGAACAGCTGTGGGCCATAGTGAAAAGTAGAGATTAAAGAAAATGGAGCATATATAAAATAGAATCATTAACTCGTAGAATAGTTTGGGATGCATGGGGTCTACAAACATCATCTAATCCAAGTGCTGACCACTTTAGGGCTGACCAAAAGCTAAAACATGTTGTTAAGGGCATTGGCTAAATGCCTCTTATACATGGGCAGGCCTGGGGCGTTGACCACCTCTTGAGGAAACCCCTTCCTGTGTTTGACCACCCTTTACATAAATAAATGTTTCTGAATGTCCAGTCTGAGCCTTAATGAAATTGCCACAGGAAAAGTAAGTTGCCAGAGGTTTTTATTCCTTAGGACTTGCTGGTGTGGGGTTAGGCTTGGGCTAAGGCCCAGAAGAGCCTACAGTGTGAGTGTTTCAGCCTGGGGAAGAGAAGGCTCAGACTTACCAATCTGTGTAAATACTAGCATGGGCAAGTAAAGATGGGCAAACCAAGTCTTCTCTCTGGTGTCCAGTGACAGAACAGGAGGCAGTGGGCGTAAATGAACATGCAAGAAATTCCATTCAAACATCAGGAAACGCTTTTTTTTTTAAGATTTTCTTCAAACTCTAACAGCGGCTAAGTATTGGCACAGGTTGTCCAGAGAGGTTGGGGAGTCTCTGTCTCTGGAGATATTCAAAACTCAGCAGTATGCAGTTGTGGGCACCCTGTTTTAGGTGGCCCTACTCTGACCAAGGATTGCACCTTTGTGGTGCCCAATAGCTCTAGGCATTCTGCAATCCTGTGAACTGAGCTGTTTGACTTGGTGGTTTTTGTGTGTGGTAGATGTCCTCAGAGCCAAAAATATGAGGCACCGCAGAAGACTTGGATTTACTAATGCTCCATTTTTAAGTCTCAGACAGTTTTAGTAAAGAAATAAGTCTAAACATTTAGCTTAGTAAAGAATTTTCAACCTCTGAGCATGTGCAGGCACAGTAGTTTAGTCACTTATATACCTCCGGGACAAACTGTAGGCACCTGTGAAACTTTTGTGTGCCTGAATGGACAGAATTTGTGTAAATTTCCAACTTAAAATCATAAATCTACATTCTGGAAAAAGTGCACTATTAATATTAAATGATTTTTAGACCTTCATACATATATGATTTTGGAGAGCAGTTTAGGCAAGTACTTGCAAGTTTTGTAGATTGGAGAAGACATTATAGGGAACGTTATTAATTGATTCAAAATAGTGTAGCTTGATTTACTTTTTTAATGTAAACAGCCAAGCTTCTCTTCCACAATCCTGATGTTTTGATGTGTTGCTTGGCAAGTAAAACACACTGTTTCTTCTTGGTTGATGATATATATAATTCCCTATTCATCATCCTGTATTTTTACCCTTTTATTGTTCCTTCAAGTGTTTTCATATTTATGCTCCTCATATATATTTTAATATATGTATGTGGTTATTATAAACATATAATCTCTTTGTTTAAATTATTTAAACTAACACTTCAAGTTATGACAGAAGTAGTTGCTGTATCATACTGTTCATTTGAAATTGGATTTATAAGGTGGAAGGAAACTTTGGTCACAAAAGTGCTGTATCGAGACTTGAAACAATGAAAATGCTTAAAAAGGGAATGGACTTTTTTGGCTTCCTAGAAGAAAAAAAAAAGGAGCATTTTGAGAATAGAAATTCTAGGAATAATTCAGTGGTGATTAAGTGCCCTAGTGCTGGAATTTTCAGGCTGCATATATTGGCTTTTTTAGCATGCAGTCATATACTCCAGACAGAGACTGCAGACTGTGTTCCATGTATGGAAATGAAGGGGCTTTTGAAAGCAAGGGGAAAAGCCTTTAGTTGCAGTCTATAAATGTACTTTTGAAAATCATGATTTGTTTCTCCTCTGAACTTGTTGTCATAATGAACTAGATGGATTTGACTACTGTTTAAAGCTTATTATGAATTTTGGCCATATTGAAGGCGTAGCTTTCAATATCTCAACTCTTTCTGATTTTGTCCCAGAAGAAAATGGGTAGGTAAAATTTTTTCCAAAGCTGGGAACTGTGTGGGTTGTACTAATAAGATCAAATAAGGCAAATTTTTTAATGTCAATAATCTTTTATTAAGCTCTATTTTTGCTTTATATGTCAGGTGAATTTGCCAGAGCTCATTTCTATGGATGCCACTGTTCTAACACTCTCTGCCATAGATAGGGATTCTGAACATAATGGAATGATTTCCTACAAAATCCTCTCTTCCTCTGAGGGATTTTCCATTGATCACAAGAATGGTGAGTCTTCATGGTTTATTATTTCAGCTTTTTAAGTATAAATCAAAGTCCTCTTACTTTCTCACCTGTTGCCAGTGATTACTTGAATTCTGGAAATTTGTGGTGGCCAAAGTAGTGTTTTTGCTAAATCTGTCATTATCAGTGGGGAGCTATCACATCAAAGACTGGAGTTCTCAGTTTGTCCCCAAACATGCATATTTCTTCTGGTCTAAATGCAGTGTGTATATTTCATACTGCATCACTGAGGGGAGGTCTTGCCTTCACAGCATTAGCTATGGTTTCTTAGAATCATGGAATAGTTTGGAAGGGATTTTTAATGGTCATCTAGTTCAACCCCCCTGCAATGAGCAGAGACATCTTCAAATAGGTCAGGTTGCTCGGTGTCCTGTCCAACCTGGTCTTGAATGTTTCTGGGGATAGGGCATCCACCACCTTTCTGGGAAATGTATTCCAGAGTTTCACCACCCTCATCGAAAAAAACTGTTCCTCATATCTGATCTGAATTTATCCTCTTTGATATAATGGTTGACAACCATTACACCTTGTCCTATCACAAAAGGCCTTATTAAAATGTCTGTCCTCATCCTTATAAACCCCCTTTAAGGCTAAAATAAGGTCTCCCTGGACTCTGATCATTTTTATGGCTCTCCTGTGGATTTACTCCAACAGGTCCATGTGTTTTCTTGGCTGAGAACTCCAGAGCTGGATGTAGCAATCCAGGTGGACTCTAACAAGAGCAGAGGGAGTGAATCATGTCCCTCTCCCTTCTTCCCATGCTGCTTTTGGTGCAGCCCAGGATACAATTGGTTTTCTGGGCTGTAAGTGCACATTGATGGGTCATGTCCAGTTTTTAATCTACTGGTATCCCCAAGTCCTTCTCCATAGGGCTGCTCTCGATCGCTTTCCCCCCTACCCTCTATTGATATCAAAAGTTTCCCTGATTCTTGTGCAGAACCTTTCACTCATCTTTACTAAACTTCATGAGGTTCCCATGGACACACTTCTTGAGTTTGTCCAGGTAATGGCATCCCATCCCTCAGGCAGTCAACTGCAGCACTCAGCTTGGTGTCATCTGCAAACTTGCTGGGGGTGGACTCTATCCCACTGTCTATGTCACTGAGGAAGGTATTAAACAGTACCGGCCCCAGTATAGACCCCTGGGGGAAGGCCACTTGTCACTGATATCCATCCAGATGTTGACCCACTACTCTCCAGATGCAAGAGAGTTATTTTGTTGTGTACAGCCATTACAGCTGGTTTATTTTCAAGTATTACTGTTTAGAATCAGCTTTTGGAGTCACATTTACTTGCCTGTGAAGCATGGGCTTTTGTTAATTCTGTTTTATTTCAGGTTCGCTGTTCACCACGGAACCAGTTATGCAGCTGAAAAATATTTCCATTATTCGTCTCTTGATAGAGGCCACAGATGGCGGCAGTCCCCCTCTGAGTGCAGTTACCTCCGTAGAGGTGCATGTAGAAGATGTCAATAACTGTGCCCCTCGCTTCACAGAGGTCCTGTACAATCTCAGTGTGAGTGAAGATGCCTCAGCTGGAGAAACTGTCCTCCTGTTCTCAGCCATCGACTGTGATTGGATGCATGAAAACACGCTTGTTGAATACTCTATTATTGGTGGCAATGATGAGAATTTATTCTCCATAGAAACCAGTGTCATGGGGTCAGAAATATCCTACAAACTTGCCAGCAGTCTTGTTTTGAGCAATGCTCTTGACAGGGAAACAGCTGCTTCTCACCAGTTGGTTCTCCTTGCCTCTGATCGTGGAACGCCCTCTTTGAATTCAACTGCTACAGTGCTGATAACTGTGCTGGATGTTAATGATAATCCTCCAGTGTTTAGCAGCCCAGAGTATCATGTTCATGTCAAAGAAAGCATCCCCATAGGCAGTCACATCACTGAAGTTTCAGCAAGAGACTGTGATGCAGGCACTAATGCAGAGATCACTTATGCTATCATCTCTGGAAATGACAGAGGGCATTTTTGCTTGGATGGTAGAACTGGATCTGTAAATTTGACGAAAATGCTGGATTATGAAGATACCATGAAATTCACTTTGGTTATCCAAGCCACAGATGGAGGAACTGATGTAAAAAATACGGCTTTTGCTGTTGTTTTTGTTAGTGTCCTAGATGACAATGATTATGCCCCACTTTTTTTGTTTCCCAGTCTGAGCTGCACTGTCACTGAGAATCTGCCTACCTTTTCTTTTGTGTGTGCTGTTTGTGCGTTGGATTTTGATAAAGGCTCCTATGGGCACCTTACCTACTCTATTCAGTCTTCATGTTTGGCTCATCGTGGAGCTGCTAGAGACCATGACATGTTCTTCATTGATCCTTTAACAGGAGATATTCATACAAAGCAAATGTTTGACTATGAAAGTCAAAATAGCTACTGTCTCATAATTCAAACAAAAGACAAAGGTGATTCACTGGCTACTGCTACAGTTCAGGTAGATATTGAGGGGAGGGATGAATTTGACCCAGTGTTTACACAGGAACATTATTTCTTTAATCTCCCTGAGAAGAATGAAGCAGGTCAGCTGATTGGCAGAGTGACAGCATCAGATAGTGATGGTGGAGTGGATGGAGTTGTTCATTATTCCCTTTTAAAACCTTCTCCGTTCTTTTCTGTGAATGAAACCAATGGCAATATTTATTTGACTCAGACTGTTCACAGATGGAAAAATGGCATCAAAAGGAATGATGATACTCTGAAATTGTTGGTAAGAGCTCATAGCCCCAAAATTGTGTCAAGGTTCACAGTATGCACTGTTTTTGTAAATGTTTCCAATTCTCCTGATAGTGATCCCACAGTGTCAGCACACAGCCTGACAGTGAGTGTTTCCATTTCACTGATGGTGTTCCTGCTGCTTGCCATCAGTCTTATCACACTTACTCTGAGACTTAAGCAGAAAGATCTGATGAATGCTTGTGTGAAAAAAAGCCCAGTATCCTCCTCAGCTGCTGATGTGAATTCAATAAGAGAAGACGAGGACTGCCAGAAAATCCAAAGTACTGAGAGCAGTATGCTTCCCATGGGTGCTATAGCAAGATGGCTGAGCTTAGCAGGACTTGGAGAGGGGAAGGATGATGATGTCTTCTGCAGGCATTCAGACTCCAGTGGCCATGGTTCTGCTGAAGGAGAGACTGCAGAGGATGAGGAAATCAAACGGATCTATGAGTATCCTTGCAGAAAAAGCATTGGCTCAGCACTGAGCGAGCATGGCTCGCAGATGCCAGATTCGGGGATCCCAAGAGAGTCTGATCAGTTCTCCTATCAGTCTGGAGAGACAGATGTCACAGCTACCATGCAAAGCATGGAGAATGTGCAGACCATTAAAGGAGAAAGCAGAGAAGAAGCCTGTGACACAGCCTGTGCACATAAAATTTTGTCTCAAACACTTAGAAAAATTGGAATAAAAGAAGTCATAATGACAGACCTCACAAGAGACTATGTCCTGATGTCAAATAGGGAAGACTCTGGGCATGATTTGCTTGCAACTGTTAGCACCTCTGATGAGGATCTCAGAGGTGTTTATAACTGGGATTATGTGCTCTGCTGTGAACCCAGATTTCAATCTCTTGCCTCAGTGTTTAATGATATTGCAGAACTGAAAGATGAAAATGTTCACATTCACAGCTTCTCTAAGGAGAGGAAATCTCTTGTTTTCCCTCCTCCCTTGATAACGTCAGTAGCACAGCCTGGCATAAGGACAGTGCCACCAAGAATGCCAAATATAACATCAGAGCAAGCTTTTAATAAATACTCTTATCCTCCTATTATCCATAATCATGAATACCCTCCACCAGCCATGACCCCTAAGTTTTCTCCTAATCTCTCTTTGCTTACCATGCAGACACCTTCTGCTTCTCCAGTAGTGTCTGATGGGAAAATGATAGCAACATGTCTTATTGATCCAAGCTATGAACTTGCAACAGAGGAAGAAATTCAGGTCTAGGTTATTAACTGACAGTATTTTATGGTAAAAATATGGCTTAAAATGTATTTTGTTACTTTTTAACAGCAAAATATGCCTGTATCACCAGTATTCTGTTTTTGTGAGCCTAAAAAGTTAAAATATAAAACAGCCAGAAATTTGCTAACTATACAACTTCTTCTTCCCAGCTCACAACTGTAGTTTCCTATGTAAAACATACAGCCAAGTGTCTGATAGACAATTTGACCAGCTTTACATTATTTCTTATAAAATACATTAATAACAAATAAATGGAAGTAATTCTTTATTGTGGAAACCAATTATTAGGATACTAGTGGGTTCTGACTGCTTCTGTGGTGGTATTAGCAGAGGGTACTGGAGGGATGTGTAAGTACAGCAGGTTTGGGGGTGGACAAAGGATGAAACAAGGATTCCTGCTGAGATCTTTCTGTAGTGTTTACCCAGGTTTCCCACAGCTCAGCCTCTGGGTCCCAGTGGTCTGTTTGGCCTCGTGTAGTTTCATCATCTGCAGTGGCTCCTTAGTGGGCTTTCTTAGCTATCTTTGTACTGTGGAACCCACTCAGCAGGTTCTCTGCACCTTTTGTTTAACTCCTGATTTAAAGCTAGCAAGTCACAATAATTGGAATAATGGGTCACCTGTGGAAAACAGAATAACCAGTGGTAGGATAAAGACAACCATCTTCTCTATTACTAGATCTCAAGTAGCTATCTGTTGTCTTTTTGTCATATTACAGAGGCTGCCCTGGTGCTTAGGCAGCTGTAGGAACAGACAGCATTACAGTTCTGAAGGTCATGTATGCCTCCAGCCCAGTCTTTGGTTCTGTGCTGGACCAAAGATCTCTGCAAGACTAGATAATCTGGCCTTGCTTGTTGTATGTATCATACACACGGCGTTTTGTGTACGTATCTATATCCAGACACATACACATGCTGTATATGCTTGTAGATTGATCAATAAAATACACAGAAAATACATCTAGAATAACTGTTTTTTCTTCAATGTATGTTTAAAAGTCTTTTGCATCATATGTATTAAAACTGGGCTATAAGGAGGTGTCTAATTGGTACCTAGGAATCTGCTGCAAGTTGGATGTGTACAGAGGTATACATTGTATAGGTCCTAACAGGTGGAGGGAAAGCATGCAGTGTGGTTAGGCTGAGTGATTTTGTGGGATAAGTAACCTGTGCAGTGGCTGCTTTTTGTCAAGCATGAATGTCAACAGTTGCAGCCTGTGGGCTCATAACCAGTCTTTGAATAAGATCCTGTTTGTAAGGCTGCACTGACACTACATCCATGCTATGCAAGAGTGCTTCTTTTAAAGCTAGCATTTGTTCTCTGTACTGCCATGGAGTTGGAAACAAGATGTAGCCTTGGAATTCATTGGGACAGACAAATTTTACTAAGAAGGAAGATGGGATTGTAAGTTTTGTAGTCAGGCAAAAAACTGTGCCAGGGAGAAGAAAGCAAAGAAAAGGAGCCATTCCCAGTTCATCTGAACACAGAGCTTCAGCTTAAGGACATTATTTCAGAATGAATGTTATTCTCTGCCTGTTGACATTATGTTATATACAGCCTGGTTGGCTTTAACTTACATGTCTGAAGTTATAATTTCTAAATACAGTGAAAGGTGTTCTTTGGGTGTTCATTTCTGTGCAGTTATAGTATCAGAAAGCACACAGAGCTATCTTTTCTGTGAAGTCAACAACTTTGCTAATTTGATTTCAGTTTCAGATGGTCACAGACAAGTGGCAGCTATTGCTCTGGTGATCAGTGAGCACATGCTGTCCTTAGAGGGGTCACCTTTCCAACATGGTACCAGTGGAAGAATGAATGCTTTACACAGCTAAACTGTTTCATCCTTCACATTGACGGATATGAAGCAAGTAACGAGGCCTTTGTTTCATGTATGGAGTCTAGGCTAATGGATGAGTAGTTTTCTCTTTGCTAATATGGCTCTTGCAAATGTTCTAATGCTATTAGCATTAGAAATCATTAGAAAGCATCAGGAATCATATTTAGGACAATATTTGGACCTCATCTTGCTAGTGGGTGCCCACCTCCTAGAGTTTTTAAAAAACAAGAAAACAGCTTCTGTTTGTGCATTTTTAGCTCCTTCAAATTCAACTTGTTTTTGATGCCTTTCTAAGAAGATTAGATATGATTTGCATTCTATTTATCAAGCACATGAAATAACCAATGCATACTTTGTGCTCCTATTAAGTGTTACAGCAATCTTTTCCTTGTCTTCTTTGCATTTATTGATTTTTTTTTATAAAATGGGGAACAACACTTAGCTGATATATTGTGTCATATATAGTCAAGCTCAAAAACTTAAACATTGAAACAAGTGTCTGCAATAAATCACCCACAGTTCTTTTAACCTGTTTTTTTCCCCTAAGTAAACAGTAAAACTTCTATAATTTACCATGACTTTAATATTAGCTTGCCTTGAAGAGGCTGTGTTACTTTTCAATTCTGCACACTAGTTTTAGCACTTTGGAGAAGGTACAGAACTTGTTAGTGGAAAATCATATTAAGCTCAAAAAGCATAAGCTATAAAATAAAAGACAGTTGTCTCTTCTGGAATTTTGGCTGCCTGCCCTCTGGATTTGCTTGTTGGCAGCCTTGAAAACACTGGTGTAAATCACTACCAAATGGATATAAAAATTCCATCTACCGGTAGTAATTGTTATATTGATGTTTAAGCAGATTTCTGTGCAAAGGGAAAAAAAAACTTCATATTTTTGGGGAACCTATTATTTACAGATTGTAACATTGCATGCCTGTTTTCTAAAATGATACTAAAAACACTAGTTACCTACGTAAGTCCTTATTAAATTTGTATTTTATCTTCAGCTGAATATTATTCCTAAATAATTATTCCAAAAGCAGTTTTAGGTAAAAATAGTTGTGCTAAAAATGAACCCTTGTTGCTAAGTCTATTGCACTGACAATTCCTAGTATTGTTTACATTTAGTAGCCATCCATCCACTGTGCTGCATGTCACTTATTTTCTATAACTGACATGTAGCTTCCTGAAAACTTTATTTAACTCTTCTTCTTGGGGCATCTATAAAAAGCAAACATGCTGCCCCAACAGAAAAAGAGTAAATGTTATTAGGTCATCAGCTAGCACCAGACTGACAATTGTGCCCATATGGCTTTATACTTTTCCAGCTCAAAGACCAGTTGACAATCCAGTTGGCCACCATAGGCATGTGTGAGGCCTCTTGGATTAGACCCCCTCCCAATGGTGATGCCTATATTGCTTCTTGAAAACCAACCCTCTAGGTGTGAAGAACACAGGAACTGAATCCTTGCAGGAAGGGAATTGCACTGGTTGGCCCCAAATGGAAGGGGGTGTTCCCTAAAATCCTGTAAAAGCACTAATTGGAATAGGAGGCAGTTGTGACTTTGTAATTGAATATACTGTGGTGGGAGGATTATATTTAGGATTTGGCTTACTTGGCAAGTGAAATCATTTTGCAGCTTCTTGCTCTTAATGTCTGTCACAACAGAACCAACTCACCATGGCAATATGTGGCTTAGTTGCCTGTAGATGGTCTGGTTGCAATAACTAAAGTGTTGCAGAATCAAATTGAGTATAATTTTGGGTGCCTCATAGTTGCCAGTTCTGTTAGCTGTTTGCTAGCACGTATGGAAAGCCTAATGTATATTCAGTCTGTGCATGGATTTGTGTGTTCAGAACTCATTCAGAAATCTGCAGTCTGACATCCTCTTGGTGGCTTTGAAAATTCCTCCATAAATATATACAACATTTAAAAAACATTGGAAAAAATGTAGATGCCTAAGCAAAAGAAAAGGGGCCTTATAGAAGGGAAAAAATGGAAGATCTAAAACTTCCTGGTTAAGGCTTGCACTTTACATTGCTGCTAGGGCTATTCCTCATAAAACATCAGATGCTTTTCTTCTAAAATGTGTAAAAAGTAATAGAAAAGCATGTGTAAAGAATACCAAGAGGCAGCAGGGTAGGCTAGAATTGCAAAATGATTCTGTTTCTTGACATGTATGAGTTACTTGAACAATGAAGCAAGTACCAAATCCTTGAGCTGATGATAGTCACAAAAATCACAATTGCTGCCTTGTTACTATATAAATTTTTGACCGACCCTGATAAGTCCTGTACTGGATGAAGCATTAGGAGCCAAACAATATGCTTTAAAATGCAGATATCATAGTAAAGGACTGAAAGAATCTATCATGGTTTTCAAAATTTCAAATTAAAATCTCATTACAATTAGAAAACTCTGATTTCATGACTATCATGTTTAAAACAAGGTATTTCTGCCCTCAGACCTACACTGAAAACTGTCAGGCACATCTGTGTAATCTTATCCTCTTGAAAATAATCTTATGTTTGATACTTCTTTTGAAAGTTAGTATTTACATAATACTGCCACCTTCCCTAAAACTGCATGTTAATTGTCTATGAAAAGCTCTCAGAAAATTCAGGAAATGGAAGTTAAGCTGTTGATTGTGAGAGCTGCTTGGCTGCCAGTTGCTGTTGTATAGAAGTGACATTTCAGAGTGGCTGGATCTAGATGGTGCCTACTCACTATCAGCCTGGGGGAATACCTGGCTGTTGCCTGTATCCACCTCCACCATTTTGTTGGAAACTTCAAATGGGAAACTCTTCTGAGTTTCTAAAATGGTGCTACTGGTGCCATAACCAAAAGAAACAAGTAGCAAGTCCAACTTGTTTGTGTTGACCTCTGAAAGCTCCATCTCAAATGCCATCTTGTTGGATGCGAAGTTCTTTCCAGCACCTCCCTTTTAACAAACTATAAGGGTTATTTAATTTCAGAGGGTTTTTTTTAAATACTGGGTTCTGATCCAGCATCCCAATACTTCTTCCACTGATTTCAGTGAGATTTGAATAAAAAATGCAGCGGAAAGAAATGGGCAACATATGTGTTGCTAATGCTCCTGCAAGAGTCAGTCACACTGGAGAGCTGGCTCCCCAGTGTGCAGGTCTGGAAAGCCAGCAGGAGGAGGCATTAAGAGAAGGGAAATCTAGAGCCTAGAACAGAGTAGAACCAGCATGGGACAGTGGTCTGGGATTTGGAGTGGAGGTTCCTCTGTGCTTCCAGGTGATTGATGCAAACCTTGCTTTATATGCTTATTTTGGGAGCAACTTTTAGAGAAGTCTGGGAGGGTCTGTAAGGGAAAGGTCACTTACTGTTTCCTTATTCTTCTTTTATGTAAACTACAGTTGGCTGCCTGATTTGCTACTGCTTTTACTGAACACACAGAATAATTACACCTTCAGACAAGTATTTCTCTACTTGTCTTTTCTACTTGTCTACCTGGGGTCAAGTGCAGGGTAGAATTAGACTTCAAAATTATCCTAGTAACTATTAAAGTAACCAGGAAGGATTTGGGAATTGTTGAGTGGTTGTTGGGGTTTGGGGGTTCATTTGGATTGTGGGAGATTTTGTGGCATTGGTTTTTCATTGGGTTTTTCTGAGAGATGCATGTGGTTTTTTTCAGTTTTAGGCTGGAATCCACAGTCATACAGATTTTGAACTTTGAAATCTGTCTTTTGTCACACTAATGCAGCACCATGTGCCACTGGCTGATCACATATTCACTGGGTAGAGATTGGTAAATTTTAGCAGCCTGCTCTTTGGCAATAGAATTGCAGTAAACTGTATTTAATTTTGTCATAAACTTTAGGCTTGATCACTGATACGTTTCAACTGCTCACTTTTCCTTTAGATTTTTTCCATATGTAGCTAAAATGTTTCATTGTTCACCATTTTCATCTCTCACATACTTGATTTAACTGAGTTTTAATAGCTGAAAATTGGGCATTCTGATCCCTAAGCACTCAAGGTGGAGCCAAGTTGTGAATATTTCCTGTTAAAAGAATGTGGTGTGTTCTATCATTAGAGTTAGAGATAAATGAGGGTTTAGTAACACAAGCCTCCTCTTACCAATAGTTTTGGTGT